AACCAGGACTGAACCAGGACTAAACCAGGACTGAACCAGGACTAAACCAGGACTGAACCAGGACTAAACCAGGACTGAACCAGGACTGAACCAGGACTAAACCAGGACTGAACCAGGACTGAAACCAGGACTAAACCAGGACTGAACCAGGACTAAACCAGGACTAAACCAGGACTGAACCAGGTCTAAACCAGGTCTAAACCAGGACTGATCCAGGACTAAACCAGGACTGAACCAGGACTAAACCAGGTCTAAACCAGGTCTAAACCAGGACTGATCCAGGACTAAACCAGGACTGAACCAGAACTAAACCAGGACTAAACCAGGTCTAAACCAGGACTGAACCAGGACTGAACCAGGACTGAACCAGGACTGAACCAGAACTAAACCAGGACTAAACCAGGTCTAAACCAGGACTGAACCAGGACTAAACCAGGACTGAACCAGAACTAAACCAGGACTAAACCAGGTCTAAACCAGGACTGAACCAGGACTAAACCAGGATTGAACCAGGACTAAACCAGGTCTAAACCAGGACTGAACCAGAACTGAACCAGGACTGAACCAGGTCTAAACCAGGTCTAAACCAGGTCTAAACCAGGTCTAAACCAGGACTGAACCAGGACTGAACCAGGACTAAACCAGGACTGAACCAGGACTAAACCAGGACTGAACCAGAACTGAACCAGGACTGAACCAGGTCTAAACCAGGACTGAACCAGGACTAAACCAGGTCTAAACCAGGACTGAACCAGGACTAAACCAGGACTGAACCAGGACTAAACCAGGAGTGAACCAGGACTAAACCAGGACTAAACCAGGTCTAAACCAGGACTGAACCAGGACTGAACCAGGTCTAAACCAGGACTGAACCAGGTCTAAACCAGGACTGAACCAGGACTGAACCAGGACTGAACCAGGACTAAACCAGGACTGAACCAGGACTTAACCAGGACTGAACCAAGGACTAAACCAGGACTAAACCAGGTCTAAACCAGGACTGAACCAGGACTAAACCAGGTCTAAACCAGGACTGAACCAGGTCTAAACCAGGACTGAACCAGGACTGAACCAGGACTAAACCAGGACTGAACCAGGACTAAACCAGGTCTAAACCAGGTCTGAACCAGGACTAAAACAGGACTAAACCAGGTCTGAACCAGGTCTGAACCAGGGCTAAACCAGGACTAAACCAGGAGTGAATCAGGACCAAATCTGAACTAAACCAGGACTAAACCAGGACTAATCTTGGACTAGGACTTGGTATGTAGTTCCGCCCCTGAGTGAACCCTGAGCCCGTGGAGGAGGGCGTCTGCAAAGCTCGATCGGGCGTCGGCTACACTTCGCCCGGTGGAGCGTGGAGATCTGCGTCGGTCCTTTCGCCCGCGGTCGCCCGACGGTCTACGCGGGCGCACCTTTGGGCCCGTCCCAACACCGCTGCTGATATTGCTGCAATTTTAGCGAATTTGTAGAAAGAAAAACGAAAAACCCACCACTCCAATCCAGGTTAAAAATGCATTGTGACTGACATTTGTACCGAGTAAAATATTAGTTTTTTTCCCCCTGTATTAAATGTAAAATAGAGCTTTTTAAAGTCACACTGTGGAACATTCCAAGCAGAGCAACGACATATGACGGACGCCAAATTAAAAAGTTACACAATACACCTTTACATGAACATATGATGGACTAAACAAGACTCCTGAGCACCAAACAAAGCCGATACTCCGCACCACCAGAGACGTCAAAACACCATCTCCTCTTTCCATTTCAGATCGGGACATGTTATACAGTTTTCTAGAATATTCTGTCTTCCGGCGCAACTTCGGCTGTGATTTAAACCTTAATCACAGAGTGGCAGTATTTTACGGGCTGACATAATAATAAAGAGAGTCAAAGAGGAGGTTTGAAGCCCGAAGCGCAGAGGAGGCGGGAGGTAGCGGGAGAGAGGACCACAGCTGGGGGTGTTGTTAATTGGGAAAAACAGAGAGAATTTGATAGGCCTGAATGATCACAAAACAAATACTAATTATTTATGCAACACTTGTGAACCCTCCCTGTTGGACGCAGAGCAGAAAATCATTAAAACTCAAATCATTTGAAAATAAAGGACTTTTTTTTTTTTTTGGTTTTGTGGAATGGAAAACTGAAAAAAATAACTCTTACTTTGTGGTTTTGATGTTCAGTGAGTATTTAAAAAAAGAATAATATAGTACTAATATAACAGATGCAACACAAATTTCGGACTCAATGTGCGAAAAAGTGAGCATCAAACAACCTCCATGTTTGATTTCCCATTGGGACGCGTCTATTGACAAAGCCGATCTTTTCAAGTCTTTTGAACCATGAAGAAAATTCAGTTTGTCGACTGGACAAAAGTTAGTTGGGTTGAAGACGTTTCGCAGCTCATCCAAGCTGCTTCTTCAGTTCTCATGGATTCTACCTGGACGACTGAGGGATTCTTCACACATCTCGAGGACAACTACGAGCCAGCTACCGTTGGACTGGTAAGAAAAGCTGGAGAAGGACATCATTTACGCTTTAACCTTAGGTGTCGACAGAAGCAACTGATTCCCAAGGCTTTGCAGAAGAAAGCACCAGAACCAGGACATAGGGCAGCAAGTTTAACCCAGCATTACCTGAGGGGGGATGCTAAGCCTTAGAATTAACCATCTCAGTTTTGAAATTCATTCATTCTACCTGGACGACTGAGGGATTCACACTCTTTTGAACCATATCGCTTTTGTTTCTGGTTCTGATATTGTCATATTTTAGTTTTGGGATTCGGACATCGTAATTGTGTGGTTGTTGGATCCTAACAGCAGAAAAAGGCTCGAGAAATTTGCTTGCGAACTTCATAACTGCAAAAGGGGAATCAGATGTGTGTGACTGTAAACCTCTGTTCAAACTGTTTCCCTTCCCAAAAAAATTGAAATAAAAAAATAGTGAAAGGTGAAGGCGATGGGCAGGATTGATCCACAGGAAGGACCAAAAAGGAAACCTTTGGCTGCCTAAGAAATTATCCCGAGTTTGCAGTGAACATTTTGTATGTGGAGCGCCAACAAAGCAAAATTCCGCTCAACCTTGGTTACGAATTTAAAAAGTCAACACCAAAGCGAAAGACACCAGCTGTTCACCAAGAAACACCTTCCACTGCAAAGAGACCAAGATGTGATGTTGCTGTAAAACCACAAGAACAAGAAAGTGCAGCTCAGTCTGTTTGTCTTCTGCACCTCTCGCTTAACAAACAGGGATCCCTCTTTGTTGACGCTCCACATACAAAATGTTCGTTGCAAACTCGGGATGATTTCTTAGGCAGTCAAAGGTTTTCTTTTTGGTCCTTCCTGTGGGTCAATCCTGCCCATCGCCTTCGTCTTTCACCATTTTTCAATTCCGTCGAAGGGAAACAGTTTGAACGGAGGTTTGCAGTCACACACATCTGATTCCCTTTTGCATTTACGGAGTTCGCAAACTTCTGAAGCCTGTTTCTGAAGCCGTTTTCCACTGTTAGGACATTGAACAAGCACACAATTATGATGTCCGATTCCCAAAACTAAAATATGACAATATCAGAACCAGAAACAAAAGTGATAAGGTTAAAAAGACTTGAAAAGATCAGCTTTGACAATAGAGACATCTCACTAGGAAATCAAAAGTGGCGGTTGTTTGATGCTCTCTTTTTTTGGAAAATCCTTCCCAGAATGCACTGCGCAATGACCGGAAGTCCAAAATTCTTGATGCATGTATACTGTAACTGTTAAAGGTGCACTGTGTAACTTTTTGGTACTGCTCTGCGTGGAAGTAAAGAAATACAGAGTGAACCTGTGTTTTGTGTGTTGTGTTTTGCATTGACAGCTGGTCCCCTCGTCCATCTCTGTCCTCTATAATGAGACACTTGGACTCGTGTCACCTCCAGAGTGATGCATGATGGGAAACTGAGGCGGGCTGACACATATCCACAAGGACAGGCAGGATTTTCAGATACTGTCCATCATATAGACCCATTTTAGTCCAGGTTTAGTCCGGGTTTACGGTGGAGATCTAGTCCTGGTTACCATGGTTACATTACACTCATTTAATTGTATGTATGTTATTCCAAAGCAAATAGGGATGTGCAAAAATATCAAAATATCAATATATCGTATCATTTAATGTGATGATACAGGCTCGATATCGTGATCTGCTGTATCAATATATCGCCAAGAGTATTTTTTGGTATATTTTACAAAATTATTTTGTTACAGTTTTGTTGCTCATTCAGAGGAAGGAAACTCATTCATGCGACACATTTGACATTTTCACTGTTTTGATGATTAAAATGTTTGTGTTTCATATGAACTTTGCACAAGAAGTGGTTTAACAAAGACTTTTAGTATCACAGTCATGATTTAGCCTTTATTTTTTTTTGAACTGTATCGAATCGATTTGAAATATATCGTATCGAATCAAAAGTGCACTGTATTAAGATGTGTATCGTATCGGCAACTTCTTATTGATACAAAACCCTATGGACTTTTTTTTTAAATCTGGTATGATACCGATAAAAGGATCTTTGGAGCTGCCGATATAAAAGCCGATATATTTAGTGATTTAAAAATTTACTGTAAATCTTCAAATCATTATAAAACTTAGATTTTACTATATCATATTTTAAATTGGGTTTATTTAGGTGACACTTATTGTTATTCTGCCTCTTTACAGTCACCTAATGGCATTTTTGCGTGGCATAGTAACCTGTAAACAAAGTAAGAAACTAGTAAACTACAGCTTAGACTTTGGTGGTTATTCTAAATGCGGTAATTAATTATATGTGTAAATGCAGATCATTCACACTTCTATTCACAGCTCATTTACATATCAATGTAGGTCCAGTAACATGTGTACAGACACTATAGTCACTTTATACGAGGACAATGTAAGAAAACAGACTGTTAGCTAAACTCTGACCAATGAGAAAGAACCAAAAGTAACTTCAAAACTGACACATTTGTAACACTCAC